ATCGCACTCTGCGAAAACTTCGAATTGCGCATCTTTCTCAGGAATGAGTCTCCGAAAATTTATTAAACAATCGCTCGCGCTTTTTCCTCAATTATCGTCGTTTGCGTCGCAAAAATTTGAGGAAATAAAGGATCATGCGGTCGCAAAAAATCGTAACAATCGACAAGCCGTTGGATGAAAACGAGATCATATTTACTATGTCAATAAAGTCATATAATTTTTATTTTCAAAAATAATTTTACAGATTTTGAAAAAGAGCGCTATTCGAATTTCTCAAAATTCTTCCGCGTAAAAAAATCAAAATTAAACAAATTAAATTGAAAAAAAATATATACATAGAATTTAGTCATTACTCTTATCGATTATTCATTAAAAATACGGAAGAGAGGAAAAGTGAAAATTGTCTTTCCTAAGCATAATTTAAAGTACTTGCTGATTAGCCGAGCACACACGCGCGCATATGTGTACATATGTTGCGGAATTTATTTATTATCATATCCGAGTGTTCACAAATCTCTATATTATGCTTGAATCGCATCCGGATCGAAGTTTGGAAGGAACGCTTATATGCGTTGAACAAAGTTTCTGATAAAATTCTCGATCAAACATTTCAGCGCGCGTCTCTCATAATAAATCTAATATTAAATCTGATATCGCGACAACCAAGCGCGTTATCGAGTATTATCTCTTTCTTCGAGATACATAAAATAAAACAAATTCCTTTGTCGTGTTATTTGCCAATATCTTTTTATCTAACTAATCTTTATGGATAATAATAATACAATACAGATAGATAATAACACAAAGACAAATTAGAGCCAAACTCGCGCAAGAGATAATAATATATACATTGACTTGATAATAATTACAAAAATATTGCATAGAGCCAAACATTTTTCTTCTTCGGTCCCTTCTCGATGACACAATATAAAACCTGAATATATTAATGGAAGAAATTGTGTTGATTGGAAACCTTAAAGTTTAATCAGAGAATTGATTATGATTATACCTTAAAATCGTAGAACTTATTCTCGGTATCTTTCAAAATACGAAAGTCTATTAAAAAGGGAAAGGAAAAAAACAGATATTATATGAAGGTAATGATTCATCAGAGGTAATTGACTCTAATTGGCCCTTCTATTATTATTTATATTTTTTATGACAGAGAATCTTGTACAACTTTCTTGATTTTGCGAATTAAAATTAATGACGACGTTCAATAAAGAGACTGTATTATTGCGTATTCTGCAATCACGACAAATATCCTGATAAGTTGCAATTTACGTATACGATAAATATGATGATAATCTATTTACAAATGACGAAATGGGAGAAGCGCGTTATACGCCATACCTCGGAAATGATAAGACGATACGGTATGTTATTATAGTAATTACAGAGGAGGATCTCGGACGAAAGAAGCGAAGACTCAACGTTGTTACGGAAAAATGTATACTGACTTTTATAAATCACATAATTGTACAAAGAAGTGTATACTGATTTTCACACATAAATCGCATATAACTTTGTACAAGTTACAATTTCGTCGCCGCGTACAACAAAATTTTATATTCAAGATAAAATTTCCAAGAACTGTCAACTAAATTCTATTAATTACAATTAATTATTATTGTAATTAAATACATGATTGTTTTATATGCGAAGATACTTTTTCAATATTACACCAAAAGGCTCGATTTAAAGGGATTTGCGTTCCGCAGCTAATGTTAACACTTGACATTACTAATGAAAAATATACAATGTCAGATATTATTTGCAGTTGTATCTCGATAGGTATCCGAATTAATATTAGTACAATAAAAACGTGCGATGATAACGCGTGTCTTCACCAATGATGCTATAATCGTGTACGTTATGTTATCGCTAGAGATTTACCGCGATCGCGAAATGTGTGATATATCTGTATAGAGGAGAAGTATTATTTACATATTAAACATAGAAATATTCAAAAAAGATCAAAGAATGCGGCTCGATTGTTCGTTTCGTTGAAATCGCGATTAAATAGAAGCACGACCCGTGCTCTCGATGTCCAACGATGTTCTCGCAAACATATTATTTCAATTCTTATAAGATGTTATTTTTTCAAAACGATTACAGTCCTTTAGATTTTTATTTTACATTTTCAATATGTCACTCTCTCTACCTTTATCATTAAAATATATTTTATTTCGATAAAATTTATCTTTTCATTTTATTTTATTTTTTCTGTGCAGTTTTCTACACACACACGCACATATACATACACTCACGCACGCACGCACGCACCCTCGCACATACACACACAATTTTATTGGAATTAATTTTACAAAGAAGGAAGAGATTTTGCTCTAAAAAATATTTTTTCGAATTATTTTTTCTTATAATTATAAATTTCGTGCCTATATAAATAAATTCAATAAATTCTTGAAAAATTTAATAAATTTATGAATGTATAAATAAAGAACATCTTTTGCATAAAATGTTTTTGGTCGATTGAAAAATCGTGAAATAAAGAAAAATTAGAGGAAATATTTTCGCAAAATATTTTTATGAAACAAACTTATAAAGATTAAAATATTACGAGAGATAGACATTTGATATTTGCACAAATTGTGTCGTGATGACATCAAGCCGATAATCTCTATTTTTTATATTAACGGCGAGAATACCAATATCGGAGAAGCTTTCTTGATCCGAAATCCTTAGCACACATTCTCCTTCGTCGACCACATACGGTGCATTCTTTTTCTAAGCACTTAATTAAGGGCTACAACTAACTTACGCGCGGTCACCTCGTAACGGCGATCTTTCATCGTTTCCGATCGGTCGTCGCGAGCGGATCTGAGTAAAAAAAAAAAAAAGGAAAACATACGTGTTTTTCTTTTACCGTCGACGAGAACCAAACGCGAAATTACGCGTTTTCCTACTACCCTAAACTTTCCTTTCATTTTGTTCTAAGGGTATTTCTCGTGTCGTCAGAGTTACTACTAGCTATCTAAAAATCCCTTAATCTAAAATCACACTCAGAACGTAATTATGTGTACCGTGCGTCCTTCAGATTTTCTGTACATTTACCAGTCACCCTCAAGTTGAAAACGCGAGACATGATAAAATAAAATCAACGAAATACTAAAAAACAGTACATGTTTGTTGAATTCGACATTCTGGAATACTGAATTTTTTGTAATCACGTGGAAAGTATTTCAATATTTATTATTATTGATAAAATAACATTAAAAATTAATTGTATATACTAAAAATTGCAGTTGCGATATTTTTCATTGTCGCTGTTGTAATATTTATTTCTGATTTGCATGGCTTTATTTATTTTTTTCTCATTATTCATTCCGTATTCTGTTTTAACTGTACGACTGTCCCACTTATATTTGTATATTTTCTTTTGATATTTTATTATGTCTCGACGCTCTAGCTCTTATATCTCTAAGAGATATCGTTTTATCAGGAGATGAAACAAGAGTGAAAGTATTCGAATGATCCTCGACAATCGCGTTTCAAGTGTGACTCGAATCAGATATTTGAGTAAATATTTGACAAAGTAGTTGCTTTCTTTAAAGAAAAAAGATTAAAATAAAAATATTTTAGAAAATATAAAGAAATTAAGTGCGATTTCAGTTTTATAGTAAATAATCAATTTTCTAGATAGATTTTTCACGCTATTTGTCGCATCGTAATGTCGCAGCGAAATTTTTAATCGCGATGAGATTGTCGAGTTTCGAGATTCGCATGTTTAGTTTGAATCGCACGGCGCTTACAACATAATCAGAAATAATACCGGAGGTACATATCATAAGTCTATATAAAAACGACTTTGATCCATCGCTCTCTTCCGTCTCTCGATCCTCCGTGTAGATTACTTCCTATCGGGGATTGAAACTCGACATAAAATCAACAAGTTCAAATTTCCACATTATAATCCATCTTACTCCTTTGCTTTTTTTTTTAAATTTTTACGACACACACACAACGCACGAATCAGCATAATATTCACATTTCTCCGCGTGCTTAGTATAGAAAATCAAAATTAAAAAAATTACGCCGGTTTCAATCCTCCTTTTCATTCATTCTTTTCCTTCTTTTATTCTTCTATCTGTCCCTCACTTGTCTTTATCTATTCATCTCTATCTCTTTCTTTTTCTTTCGTTTTTCCGTATTGATATCGTCGCACGATACGTCGGCAGTGTGTTTATTGGAATAAATCGCGATAAAATCGCGTGAAGGAAACCCGCGTTCGCGAGGTAAACGAGGGAAAATTATCGTGTCGCCGAGATGGACGAGAATTGTTTTCTCGACGCGGAGATTCTCGAGATTCTCGCCTGGCAACAAAGTCGTTGAATATCGATACATGGTTCGCGCATACCTCTGCCTCCCTCCTGCTATGCGAGACCGCAAGAGTCCTGTCTTCTCACAGGACATCCTTCTTTTCCTATTTCCTAACCTGAGATCCAAAGAGTCTCGCTATTCGAAATCTCGATCTTGAGACGAAAACAAGCGAACATGGGATCAGGACACTCGCGAAGAAAACAGGACGCGAATTTTTTTCGTCTTATCGAGACAGCGAGTCGACGATAAGCGCGGAAAGATTACGGAAACGAC